ATTTACCCTTTATTTATCCAGGTAGTCTCATTGAGCCACGAGAACTCATTTTCAAGAGAGACCTGTTTAGGGAGTAGATGGTGGGGGTTAAGGGCCGTGTTCAGGGGGCCAGAGGGGGGCGAGTGAGGGTGGAGGGGGTGTGGGTGTTCCACCTTTTCCACCCACATTTTGATGTTGACTGTACCGGGAGTTGAACCTGCGACTTTCCAATCACAGGCCCATCTTCGAACCTCTGCGCCACCACTCCTTCCAATATTATAATAATATATTGCTGCTTAATTTTCACAAAAACAGGAGTAATAATACCTGGTGACAGTAGTCACATTGGTAAGGCTTTTCTCCACTGTGAGTCCTCTTGTGTCTCTCCATGTGATACTTTTGAATAAACCTCATCCCACACTCGTCACAGCGAAAAGGCTTCTCACCTAAACAAAAAGACAAACATATGAGGCTAAAATGACTGAGAAAGTCCTTGCAAATACTTGTTGAACGTTTTTTGTCACCCACCAGTGTGGATCTTCTCGTGTCTCTGGAGAAGATATTTCTGAATGAAGCGCATGTCACACTGGCTGCACTGAAAAGGCTTCTCGCCTAGAGTTGGGAAAACGTAATTATGCAAAAACAACATTATCAAACCATATAATTTCAAATGAACATTTTTATGAAGCCATTTTAAAATAAATTGGGGTATTCCATACCAGTGTGAATGAAGACATGCCTCTGCAGATGGTAGTTTGTTCTAAATGCAGCGTTACAGTGGACACAAATGTGACACTTGGGGTTTGGGACGGTCACAGAGCCATCATCATTCATGCTGAGAATCTGTAACAGCAAAAAGAACAACGAAGTATAAGCTTCATTTATACATTTGCAAACTGGTTATCAAAAAGGGAAAAAAATCAAACATTATGCTGAGATAAAAATAATGATGATAATAATTTGTACTTTTGCTGGTGAGCGCTGCTTCCTTTTTTTCTTCTTGGGACACACACCCTGGTCCTTGATTGCTTTTTTGTTCTTTGTAAGGTCAGAAAGCTTCAGCTCTTGCTTGATGCTCAACTGTAAAAGCAGGACCATAGGCAGTCAAGACATTTATTATGACAAATGACCTACTTTATGGAGCACCCGGCATGCTAGCAGTTCATAAGTCTGGCAGGTGGAAACAGGCAAAAAGAGAATACTCAAACCATGTGAGGTCACCTGAACATAAAATTGCCGCAGGCATAACAGAGTGAAGAACCTCAGGTCCTAGACTATTTAAGACAGGCTGTTTGCAGCTCTTTCAGACATATAAATATTTATAACTATTCTGCAGAATTTATATCAATTTACACAGTCAGCAGAATCAATTGTTTCATGTTTTTAGTGTAGCTTCCATAATTTCTGTGTAGCAGATAAAGGGTGAGTTTTATCTTCTCATATCTGCCATACAGCTAATAAAACCACCGTCATCCATAATGCAAAATGCACCTTTCCGTATTAGAGCACCTGCTAAAAGAAGCTCATACAATTCACCAGCTGTCACTCTGGACTAAAATGTTTCCGTCTGAATAAATATGAGTGCTTAAAGAACTGATAGGATGACTTTTCAGGCCAATGTCTGTGGAGAAAGTGAAGACTTATGAAAACATGACAACTACTCCAATCAGCATCAACTCACTGGCATATGAAGCAAGCATGGCAGCTTATTGGTGAGTTTTAGGGGGAAATGTACTCCCACCTCGCCCCCTCCATCCTCTTCTCCTCCACCATTTTTTGTCACCTCCTCCTGCATCATCAGCTGCTCTGGAGGAACCAGGTCATGTGTAACCAAGGAACTTCCAGTCAAGTCCTCATCATCTTCATCATCGTCATCATCATCAGCCAGCAGAGGGTGGTTTGCCAGCGATCGTTCCCCAAGGGTCATCACCACCAGTCCTCCTCTGGCACCCAAGCTAACTCTCCCTCCTCCATCCATTCCTCCGCTGCTGCACTTGAGCAACATACCCTCCAACTTATCCTCAGCATTCATCCTTTACATTGAGCACTTCTTAAGTCTGTTAAACAAACAAACAAAAACAAAAAAAGAAGAAATAAATAGGTAAAGTTCATGCTTAAAAATCCAGGTAGAAAAATCCAACTAAATTAAGTCTTTCTTTTGTAGAAACTGTCCAGAGGACCTGACTTAACTTTGTTGAACAAACAGGTAAGATTGCCAAAGTTAAATAATTTAAGGCCAGTAAAGAAGGTAACCAACATTTAGCTATGATATCCAGTCAAACAAACATGTAAAAGTTAATGACACAAACTGTTGAAGATGATCTACGCTGTCCTCATTTTAGATATATTTAATTACAGCTAAGCTTACAATTGGGTACACAGATTTTTCCCCTATGAGCTTCAGAAATTACTTGCAGCTAGTGCCAACTTCCTCTAAATGGATCTACAGGTAACGATTAGCATAAATCCAGAGAAGACAAACTTAAACACAAACACAATCACAGAAGACAGTCAGTGGAAAATACACACGTTTGATTGTGATACACAATAAAATAAAAATAACAGTAAAAATACCTAAATAATAAAACATAACTGGTATTTTATAGAAGCTTACAGTTGTCGCTGTCTGCATAAGTCATGAGCTATGCCTTATTGCTGTGAATTTTAAAAGTACAATTCTAAGATAGATTATTTCCTGTCTCAACTGAACCATAAGAAAGACACATTCTTTTTGAACAATGGAAAGAATGAGGCACATAACCTGGTACTATACTTTTTTGGCTGACAAAAGCACATTCTAGGGGCTTTGTTGTTTCATATTTAGATTATTGTTCTAACTTTTTTTTATAGATCTAGAAAACATATTTAAGAAATGACATAACTTGTAATGGATGCTGTGTTCTCACAATTTCTCAATCTAATGTCAACAATGCCTCCTCTCAGTAAAGCTTCCATTTTTGTAATTAGGTCAGATGTTGTTCCTCTGATCTTATCTTATAAATGAAATGTATGTATCATATGAAGTGTTGGAAAACGCATCTTGTGAGTAAAGAAAGGTTAGATCCAATTCACTTATGCAGCCAAAGTGATAAGTTTCAAGTATGTTTTATGTATTTCGTTATTCGAAGATAAATAAGTAGCCATAAACAAACAACTGCCAATTTACTAGACACGTATTCATTATTACAACACTATAAGAACAATGTAGCTCCTGCAATTACAATGCAAGACCGTATTATTTAAATACATAACGCTAGTAATCGCTTTATTTAACACGGAAACGATAGCTAACCTAGATTTGAAAAGCTAAGCTAGCGTTTGTGTACATTTAATGAGCGATTTAAAACTATAACAAATGCAAACTGACCTGGCGTGAAAGCAATTCAGATAAAAATGTACGTCACGACAAAAAATACAAAAACAAATTAACAGTTAATGTAAACACACTCACTGCCATTCAGGTTTGGTGGCTTAGACTAACTCCAGCTAGCCAGCTAGCTAACCCCGCTCGTCAAAGCTGCTGGTGCACATTTCAAAGACCTTCAACAGAAACTTCCGGAAAAGGAGCCGACTGCCTTCAAAATAAAAGACGTTGCGCTGTGCAATACGGAAATGAAGTGCATCGTTTTTAATGCGAGATGACAAACAAGAATAAATACTGTCAATATGCTGGGGCTGAAAATCATATAAATTTGACACCTGTGCAATTAGTGGAAGAAAAAATATTTATAGGTGCATCTAAAAAAATTTTGAATATCATGAAAAAGTTCAAAAAAAATTTTTTTTTGGTCAATTGTTTCAGAAAGTAAAAATCACATTTCATTACACATTCAGTGAAATATTTCAAACCTTTATTTCTTGTATTGTTGATTATTATGGCTTACAAATAATGAAAAACCCAAATTAGAGAATTAGAGTATTACATATCCAGCTTCTGGTCCCTTCGGCAGTTTTTCATTTATTCAACCTTTTTTTATATACAGGTTAGTCTCATTGAGTCACGAGGACTCGTTTTCAAGAGAGACCTGTTTTAGATAAAACCACAGATAAGTGCACACGACTTTAAACAATGAAATGCAAATAATGTAAAAAAAAAAAAAAGTAGTGTTATAAAACAAAATCAAACCAAGGTGCCTTATAAAACAAGGTAAAATACTAAAAACAGGAATATGTTTGCTTTGATTTTTCTATTGAACTTGTCAATTGTTTAAAATCCCATAAAGAGGTAAAGTGGACAGCTTCAGGTCTTTTTGCAAGGTGTTACAGGAGCAAAATAAGAAAAAGGCCTTTTTGCCAAGTTCAGTCAGCACTGGTGCAGGTAATGATGGCATGAGAGGTCAGTTTTGTAAAGTGTCAAATCCTGTTGGAAAATGAAATCAGCACCTCCATAAAGCTTGTCACCAGAAGGAAGCAGGAAGTGCTCTAAAATGTCCTGGTAGATGCTGCGCTGACTGTAGAAATCAGAAAACACAGTGGACCAACACCAGCAGATGACATGGTCCCAAATCATCACTGACTGGAAAATTCACACTGGACTTTAAGCAACGTGGATTCTGGGCCTCTCCATTCATTTCCAAATGACATGCATAATTTACATTAATATGAAAAGAGGACATTGGACCAATGAGCAACAGACCTGGTAAAACACTTCTGATGTTGTCTCTGGTTTAGGAGTGGCTTTACTTGAGGAATGAAACATCCCCATGTCTGAGTTAATCAGCTGATTAGGGTGTGACACCATGAGTTTCCAATATCGAACCTCTTCACAACATTCAAACTTTCTGAGACTTTGAATTTTGTTTTTTCATTATTTGCAAGCCATAATCATCAAAATCACAAGAAATAAAAGGCTTGAAGTATTTCATTACATATGTAATGAATCTATGTAATATATGAGTTTAACTTTCTGAAATGATTGACAAAAAATTGATCTTTTTCACGATATTCAAATTTTTTAGACGCATCTGTACATCATCCTACAAAAAAACCAAATATAAAAGCACCCCTTTCTGCAAGATATTTATATAATCTAAACCCCAATCAACGCACATATTTATAAAAACAATGCAACTGTTAATAAATGAGGAAAAACTTGTTAATATTAGGAACTTTGTAATTAATACAGAACAAACATATTCACTTATTTTAAGATCCACTACATTTTGGTTATAATATTCCAGAAAAGTGCTGCATTCTTTATTAAATAAATGTTGTTGCCATTGTAACATACCAGTACATATTATCCTATGTTCTTATTTCGAATTAAAACCATAACATATTGAACTTTAAACGCTTTTACTGCGCATCGTTTGGTCTTTTATTCTGAAGGGCAACACCGGAAGTTAATTTTTGCTTTCGAACGTTTAACACTTTTATGGCCTGTTTTAGCGAGTTAGCCGCCAGCTAATAGGTTTCAATTACTCGTCAATGCATTACCGTGTACATTTGTATACATTTGACACACTATCTTAGACGCAGCAACATTCTCTCATGTGTAACACAATTTTTAAAAATCCGAGCCCTTCAATATACGACACATGACACGTAAAACACAACTTCGTTTGCTCATTTTAGCAACTTAGCTAGTAGCTTCTTAGCCACTGCTTCATAGGCCAACATGACATTTCCTGGCTAGAAAAGTAATTATACATCTCAAACAGTTATAATACATATCAAGGGCGTGCATGCGACACGCTGACCACTGAAAAACAGCGTTATGTATTCTTACCTGTGCGGGTTAAATCCGTTTAGCCGTCATGACTTACGGAAGACAGTGCAATGATTTGAGTGCGAAATACAATAATCAAAGAAATACAACATCGCGTTTGATGAGGGCATGAAATATGTGTTTGTCGCCCTCTAGTGGTTAAATATGGCAAGCGACGAAAACTGAGCGCATCTCTCAACACCTTCAGAACGTTTTAATACATGTGGTCAGCCTTGTCTTGTCTTTGTTGTTGTTTTTTTGTGGTAGAATAAACCTTAGTGACATAGAAGCTTGAAAAAAAGCCCATTAAGAATAACCCATTAGGTTTCACAAGGGGTTTGCGTTGATTTGACACAATTTAAAGAAGAACCCTAAAGGCTAGATTATACATTAAAAACATCTGTTTCGTGTACATACATTTAAATGTTAACAAATGAAGTTCTTTATACCAATGATAAAAACCTATTTTATTCATTTATATA